CACCATGATGATTAATGCCAGTCGATGGCGGATTTCTGTGGTGTGAAACAATGCAGTAAATCACAAAACCCTAAACTAACCCGATTGATTTGGACGTTAAGATCAGACGGTGCAGCGCTCGGGAGATTCCCTTTGATTCCCACTGTCATTATAATCATAATCGCACTGACTGGAGTCAATGGGAAACAGCAAATCACTGTCTGTGTGATGTCCACCCTCTGGAGAGAATCACCATGTATTGTAATTATACTAAGATCAGAGTCACTGTGTGTGAGTGTTTTGTGTGCGTGTGAGTGTTTGTGTGTCTGTGAGTGTCTGTGCGTGTGTGTATGTATGTCTCTGTGTGTGTATGTGTGTATCTCTGTGTGGGTATGTATGTGTATCTCTGTGTGTGTGAATGTGTGTGTCTCTGTGTGTATATGTGTGTCTGTATGTCTGTATCTATGTGTGTGTGTATTTGTGTTTGTCTGTCGGTGTATGTAAGTTTGTGTTTGTGTGTGCTGTGTCTGTGCCTGTATGCATGTCTGGGTGCGCGTGTTTGTGTGTATGTATTTGTGTGTGTGTGCGTGTGTGTGGCTCTGTGTGAGGGTATGTATGTGTGTGAAAATACAGACTGGAGAGATAACCATTGTGTGTTTTCACTACAATCAGAATTCGAAACACTTGAAAGGGTTGGGTGCTCAAGATGGAATTCCTCCTCACATCCTCCTCACTCGTTTTAATGGAGTCAGTGATATTTAAGCATTCAGAATAGAGGTGCACACGCTTATTTTCTTCATTACATCTCGATTGTCATTGACAAGTCATAGAAACTAGGAAATCTGTGTCAGTCGGTAAATCACAGCACCGTTTTGTAGGTGCAATTATTGACATGATACAAATCCTCGGAGATGAATTCAACAACCTGAAGGATAACCGTTTCAGATTTCACATCGACCAAAAAACTGGTTTAATGGGAAGCGTATTTCAGACAGTGATGTGATAGTATTGACCGATCTCCATTCATGTGTGATGGTGCTGTCTCTAGCCTGGCTTTATATATCACACAGCTAAGCTAAATATCCTCCAGCTATACTATTACAAAGTCCTTGGTGCAGACACATACTGACTGGTCTACACAATATATCGACACTCCACATGGAGTGTATACTGAGAAGTCCTAATGCCGTGAAAGCACTGTATCACATTTAAGATTAATTGTGATTGTTGTTATGATTATTATCAACATCATCGGAATTACTGTCCATTCCTCCGAGATGTGTTACTGATTAAATATCTCCCGCAGTAAGTAAATCTTCCTGAAGGTGAACTGTTAACAGGGAGCCAGTTTTACACATTCAAACATTCAGATAGAAAAGGAAGCAGATATCCACGCAATTTGGGATACAATGATGTATATTTTAAGACAGCAATGCTGAAAAGGTATTGAATTATTTTTTGGGGGGATATGTTAAATGAAGATGAAAACTTGTTTTATCGTGATAATCTGGTTCAATTCGGAGCACTCTGTCCTCCGGGTCAGAAGGTTATCAATTGTAACAATAATAATAATAATAATCCTTGCATTTGATATAGCTCTTTTCACGTCTTCTCGACGTCTCAAAGTGCTTCACAGAATAGACTGTAAAGTGAATTGACTGTATATTTGTGGGTGAAGCGTAGCAGCCAATTGCGCACAGCAGTGTCCCACAAACAGTCGGCGAATTCAAGCTGAACGGGGACTTAAAGCTTACGCTCTGGCAAACGCTCCATTGCAGTGCTGGGGAAGGGCTGTGTGTTGTGGACTGTTCAGGTGGACTGTAAATTTCCCGCTGTGCAATTCAACAATAACAACAACAAAATTACATTTGTAAAGCGCCTTTCACGTCGGGAGGACGTCCCAAGGCGCTGGGCAGACAGAGTTACGGACCCAAGCTGAGGGTCGGAGTGGGGGAGAGAGGTGGGGGGAAAGCACGGTTGAAGTAGAGGGTCTTGAGGGGTGGGTCTTGAAGGTGACAAGGAAGGGGTGGGGGTGGGATGAAAACAAGTGAAATAGAGTTTATTCTGGAATACTGGCCACAATCCCCCAGATAAACTGTTTTATTCACTTCATGACTGGGTACTTTCCTGGATGAAACTTGGTACCCCCATCTCACCAGCTCTGGCCCAGACCCCACTGGCTCCCCTTCACCGCATGGATCGATTTGAACATGAGAGTGAGGTTTTTGAAGTCAAAATCCTCACTCTCATGTTCAAATCCCTTCACTCCCTGGTACCTCCCTCCCTCTCCGACCTCCTCACTCCCCAATCCACCACCCGGTCAGCCCCTCCCCTCGACCGGCAAACAGCCTCCAATCCACCACTTTTTCAGCCACTGTGACCCGAAACCGTCGAACACAGATTATTTTTCATCTATAAAATGATGCTCAACCGCTCAACAATATGATGACGGTGAAATGAAAATCTTTAAGATGCCAGGCGAAAGGTGGTAAAATATCATTAATATGAGTTTTTAATAATTGCCTCAGTTTAGGCTATAAAATGACGTATTTGATTGAATGGAATTATTTTAGATATTCACTGGTCTACAAACACACAATCACCATCGCTTAGATTAATTTCTGTGGGACTCGTTTTTGTGAATTAACAAAGCCCAATATCAAATTGATTTTTTTTACTGTATATTAAATAAAGTAATATAACAATGTTCAATTGGTAAAGGCAGAAAGCATCATTGATCATGTTTAAAAATTGAGTGACTGACCACTGAAGTATTGAGTAGGTCCAATCTCTATTAACCAGGTCAATTGAAAGAATATTTTGAAGAACCAAGTGGACTTAATGCTTAAAAATGGTAATGGACATAATAATGGGACTGAAGATACACAAATCTCCAGGACCTGATGGATTCTACGCCAGGATATTACAGGAAGTAGGGGGAGGAAATTGCAGATGCATTAGTCATAATTTCCCAAAACTCTCTATGTTTGGGAAATGTGTCCTTGGATTGGAGAATTGCAAATGTCACTCCATTATTTAAGGAGGAAGGGAGGGAGAATCCAAGTAACCACAGAAATGTCATCTTAACTTCAATTCTGGGGAAGTGACTTGAATCTCTCATCGGACAAAGTGACTGAGCACTTGGACAAGTATGATCAAGCACTAATCAAAGAGAGTCAGCGTAGATTTGTGAAGGTTAGGTCACGTCTGACGAATCTCATCGAATATTTCGAGGAGGTCACTAACATGGTGGATAAGACAGTGTCTATGTATGTCGTCTATATGGACTTTCTGAAGGTTCCACAAGGTTGACAAGAGGGAGAATGTTCACTGATTGATGAGATGTGACAAGTGGTGTTCCCCAGTGGTGTGTTCTGGAGCCTCAGCTTTACACCATATATATATATGTATATATTTATAGATGACTTGGATGAAGTAACAGAGTTTTATATCCTAACATGCACAAAGTTAGGAGTCACAGCAAATTGTGGAGATGGGAGCAGGAAGATACAAAGGGACTTAGACAGATTAAGTGAGTGGGCAAAATTGCGGCAGATGGAATTCAAGGTCGTCCACTATGGATCCAAAAATAGGGAAAAAAAGAATATTTTCTAAATGAGGGGAACTAAGGACTGTGGAGGAGCAAAGGGATTTGAATGCCCAGGTATCACTATAAACACGCTCACAGATACAAACAGTTATCAAAAGGGCTAATGGGATGTTGGCCTTTATCTCAAGGTGGCTGGAATATAATGGAAAGGGAATGATGCTTCAACTACACAGAGCCTTGGTCAGACTCCATCTGGAGACCGTGTTCAGTTTTGGTACCTTCAGGAAGGATATATTAGCTTTGAAGCAAGTGGAGCACAAAGGCTCAAAGAGTTAAATTAAATTATGAGGACAAGTTGCTTGGTCTCCATGTCCTTGAGTCTGGAATGTTGAGAGGTGATCTGATGGAGGATTTTAAAGTAATAAAGGGATTCCACAGGGTAACTGCAGAGAAACTATACCAATGTTGTCTGTACAATAATTTGAGTGCAATAAACATGAATGTAAAGTACATACAGGATGGAGCGGGCCTCAAAGGTTCCGGTTCTGATTGGTCGTTCCTCAATTTCTTCATAAATTGAGTGATACAAACGAGCAGTTGGACATTTCTCATCTGTTGGAAGTTGACGTGTACAGAAATTAAAATATTAAATTGCACAATGGAGTTTGAAATGGAACTACATATAAATCTGGATAGTGTAACATGGCTTTTGATATTTGAAATAAAATCAGTATCTTATCCTTACTATTGCGTGTTTATGTATAATAATCCTTGCATTTTGATATAGCGCATTTCACGTCGGGAGGACGTCCCAAAGCGCTTCACAGAATATACTGTAAAGTGAATTGACTGTATACTTGTGGGCGAACGCGGCAGCCAATTGCGCACAGCAATGTCCCACAAACAGTCGTGGATTGAAAATGACCAATTTATTATTGGTTTTGGAGGGATTATTATTAGGCTCTGTGTGGAGTAAGGAAACTTGCCCAAGGTTTCGCCCTCTGCCTGGAATTGAACTCAGGTCTCTCACTTGCAAAGCGAGTGCTCTAACCAGTGAGCTACAGGACTCAATGTGCATATTTCTGCATGTTTTTATTTTAATGTGCATATGAGTTTGCGTTGCTCTTCACGCTCAGATAAGTACCTATGCATGTTTACATATCACTGGGTGCTGGTGTGTTTACATATGTGTGGCTTTGTGATTTTATGAGTGTGTACCTGTTTGTCTGTGTATTCGTGTGTGTAACATATGTTAGTGTGTTCAGTATATGTCTATGTCTATTTGTGTCTGTGCGTGCGTTTATGCATCTGTGTTTGTGTAGGATCTCCGTATTTGAGTGTGTACGTCTTTAATTTCCGTTGGTGCATCTTTACAGATCCATGTGAAGCTATGGAATGAAATCGAGATAGTATCAAGAGACAAAAGAGACATGGGTATGAATGGGACACAAGTTGGTTTTATCTGAATTAATCAGCAAGCTCCTGAAGGCGATCCTGAGACCAGGTAACCAGGCTCACCTCTTCCCGAAGAATTGGTGTCCGTCTGTACCATCAGCGCAAACAGTACCATTGCTAACAGGAGTCCGAGCACGATGCAGGCTGCAACTGGAATGTTGACCGTCCCAATCAGCTGAGCTTCGCAAATCAAGGACATAACATTTGTCGTTTCCTGTTTATAACATTGAATAGTCGAAATACACTTTCGAAACTGTAATGAAAAATACTTTACTGAAAGTTATCTTTCTTGGGTCAAGTGTTATAAAGTGTATGCCGGCGTCGTCAGAAGAGTGTCAACGCCAGCTTAACAACTGTACAACAATTGAAGTTAAACAGTCTCATTAACTCCTAAAATAAGATCACTTCTGGGAGTCAGTTTACAAATATACGGGATTTAAGTGTCTTTCATTTTTTTTAGGTTAAATGACAATATCAAGTGATAGTATCTGGGAAAGTTAGACATATTATCGAGAAGACAAATACCTATATTACTTACCAAAATAGGTAGGACGGATTGCCTGGCTGGGAGGTACATGACCTGCAACACATCACATACACAGTTAATCCAGTGATGATTCTATTCCTGCCTTTTAAGCCATCCCAGAGTTAAATCTGCATTTGTCAAGAAAAGATAACAAACTATTGAGGGATCGGATCCCTCCCCTACCAGAGCAAACCACACCGGCGTCTTCTTTATGACTACAGTCACTTCGAGCCGGGAACGGAGAGACACAATCCCACAGAAAGGATTCACTTCCTCTGCAGTGAAGCTGGTCCAGCCATATCTGACCAGCGCCTGATCCAAACCCAGCCTGACCCACAGCCTTCACTGGGGGCCCACAGTCCAGCTGTCTGCAAACCACACTGGCCTCTCGTACATCCCAGGCATCGTCGCAAACCGTCCCCCACTTGTTATTGCTCAGTATCTCAACTCTTCCGGAGCAATTACTGCTTCCTCCAACCAACCGCAACTCCTGCCCTGAATAATAATAATAATAATAATAATCCTTGCATTTGATATAGCGCTTTTCACGTCTTCTTGACGTCTCAAAGCGCTTCACAGAATAGACTGTAAAGTGAATTGATTGTATATTTGTGGACGAAACGCGGCAGCCAATTGCGCACAGCAGCGTCCCACAAAGAGTCGCGGATTGAAAATGACCAATTTATTATTTTTTTTTGTTTTGGAGGGATTCATATCGCACACCTGTTAACCTCTCACACAAATAAAAATACGTGTATTTTATTATAAAATATAATTCCATGTCATTATCATCTAAAACATTTATCCTATAAAAGCGTGCAGTCAACGCATGTTACAGTAGATACTGTGAAGCATGTTGAGACATCCTCCTGATGCGAATAGATTCACAGCAAATACGAGTTCTGTTCGTTCATTTATTTCTCATTCCGGTACCTGATAGGTGGTGCCGCTGATCAGGTGAACTCCCAGCGCACTGTTTGGCATGATCTGTTTTTTTTTGTGTAGCTTTCTCTGCAATTAAACATAATAATAATAATAATAATTCTTGCATTTGATATAGCGCTTTTCACGTCTTCTCGACGTCTCAAAGCGCTTCACAGAATAAACTGTGAAGCGAATTGACCGTATGTTGATGGGCGAAACGCGGCAGCCAATTTGTCCCCACAAACAGCCGTGGATTGAAAATGACCAATTTATTATTGCTTTATTTTCTTGAGGGATTATTATCATGCGTTTGGAGTAAGGAAACTTGCCCAAGGTTTCACCCTGCCTGGAATTCAACCCAGGTGTCTCGCTTGCGAGGTGAGTGCTGGAACCACTGAGCTGCAGGACTCCACATACATGTATACACAAAATGGTTCAAATATGAACATAAGAACATAAGAATTAAGAGCAGGAGTAGGCCATTCGGTCCCCCGAGCCTGTGCCCCGCCATTCGATAAGATCTTCTGACATAAGTCTAATTACCTGCCCTATCCCCATATCCCCTAATCCCTCTATATTTTAAAAATCTATCAGTCTCAGCCTTGATGTAAAACACAAATGAAATATTGACTCAGAAATGTTTCCTGAGGAACATGTTTTGTTACCTGAACAAACGACGCCCACATCCTCCGAATGCTCACAGTTGTGTTCACCCCAAGGTGGTGAGGAACACAGCCACAGGAAGGGTTCCTGTGAATTGCAGTCTATGTCATCCAGCCAAATAGGTCCAGATCCTTTGTCAAATTGATCCGAATCAGTAGTATCCAGAGCTCGGCCACAATCAACTGTTTGCAGATCACCTGAGCAGCTTTGATTCCCATGGAGTCCGAGCAGACTGTGCCCCAAGTCCCATTGTAAAACACTTCCACCCTCCCCTCACAGGAATGTTGCCCATTCACCAGCCGAAGCTCCTTGTGCTCTGTGAAGGAACAATGGTAATAAGAGCTTTTCAGATCTTCTAAACGTCTCAAAGCGCTTCACAGAATATGCTGCAAAGCGAATTGACTGTGTGTTTGTGGGCGAAACGCGGCAGCCAATTGGGCACAGCAGCACGTCCCACACAAGCAGCCGTGGATTGAAAATGACCAATTTATTATTGTTCTACTTTCTTGAGGGATTATGATCAGGCGTGTGGAGTAAGGAAACATCATTGTGAAGTCCTGTAGTTCAGAGCGAGAGAGCTGGGTTCAATTCCCGGCCGGAATCGAACCCAGGTCTCTCGCTCTGAACTACAGGACTTCACAATAATGGTTTTTAATTAAAGTTTTCGATTTATTTACTGTTTCGTTTCATGCGGAGCAGCGTTTGTGGAATTAACTCTATTACAGATCCTGCAAAAAAATCTGTAGGTGGCCTTCAAAATATTGCATTGGACGTTTCAAATAACCTTTAACTGATAATACTCCTTATATCCGATAAAGGACATTGTGGAATTTCACACGCTCCACAGTTTTTAGAGGTTTTGACAGCATAACTATACAGATTCAGCAAAGCTCAAATATCCCAGTACCAGCGTTAAATATAATGACCATGTTTGATCTTCAGGATTGTTGACCAGGGCACCAGGAGAAACTCGTTCGCCATCTCCAAAGTGCTCGGGGGATTTTTGTTGTCACTTGAAAATCTTTATTGTCACTTTATTGTCACTTAACCCTGCCCTAACCCAACCCTAACCCTAAAGGTAATGACGGCCTCAGCAGCATCTCTTCGATTCGATTGTCAGCCTTTTCCATGATTAACCCCATGTAGGGATTGAACCCACAACCTACTGACTCAACGGTGGGAGTGCTGGTAACAGAGCCCGGCTGACACCCCTATAGTGATGGCGTAACTCAAGGCGTTTTAAGCTCTTACCTGTACACACAATCCTCACATCTTCTTTGTGATCACAGTCGTGCTGCCCCCATGGAGACGAGGCGCACTCCCAGAGTGCCAATTCCTTTCCTGAACATCTCACCTCATCCAACCAAACTGGCCCTGAGGCTCGTCCGCAAGAGGGAGCAGCTGTTGCGTTAACTCCAGATCCACATCCCAGCTGCTTACACACAACATCCGCCTCAAGTGATCCCCAGGAGTCGTCGCACACCGTTCCCCAGGTACCATTGTAGTAAATCTCCACTCTCCCAGCGCACGAACTCCCACCGTCCATCAGTCTGATCTGAACATCTTCCATTGAACATGAACAAAGTTTGATTCAAGGTGTAACGTGCAGCAGTTTACACGGTTTCATATAAATGATCAAGTGGATGTAGGAGAGATAATAAAATAATAATAATAATAATCCTTGCATTTGATATAGTGCTTTTCACATCTTCGAGAGATCTCAAGATGATCTGGGTGTGCTATGGTAGAGTAGATCATCAGTCATGGGCAGCCCAATCTCTTTTAGTCAAATAGTTCTGAATTATATAAGCCGGCGCTAGCACTGTATATTGCTCACAAACAATCTCAGAATAAAAGTTACTCAAATGCAAAATACAGTTAAATAATAATATTAATCCTTGCGATTCATCAAGCACATTATCACATATTTGAGACATCTCAAAGTGCTTCAGAGAGTACATTGTAAATTGAATCGATTGAATATTTTGTGAGTGAAACGGGGCAGCCAATGGTGTACAGCAGTGTCCTACAGACAGTCGTGGATTGAGTGACCAAATTTTTGTATTTTTTTTAAAGAATTATTACCACCCCTCAAAAAGCGATTCGCCAAACTAGTGACAACCAGTACTAGTTAAAACCTAGTCCTGAAATTGCAATTATTGGTAAAAGGTTACTTACTTGTATACTGCAGTTCAACATCAATTGTATTCCCAGTTGATTGGTTCAGCCTCATCTGTGTGTGATCTGTTCCAAAGTTAAACAAAACATCAGGTTTCCATTTGGGAAGAAGCACAACAGATGCGTTTTAATATTATGCAGCAACGCAAAAATTAATTGTTAAGTCAATTTAATGAGTGCGTATGAAACTTCATTAGGTATTGAATGTCATTCTCTTGGCACAGCACATTCGCAACACCACACGTGAAATAATTCCATGATTAATTGTCGAGGGTATGTTGCTCCATGTTGTTTCTACATCGATGGAGGAAAAGGCACTCACCGTCAGGAAGGCACATTGTAAGGTATTTTGCAATGATATTCTATAATATTTTCGATGACGCTGATTGATTATATTTATCGGTAAAAACAAATGCACTCACCTGAGCAAAGAACTCCCACGTCATGGCTGCTCCCGGTGGATGGAGCCACTGTGGAATGTGGGCAGTTCCAAATATGTGTCTCGTTTCCCGCACACTGAACATTATCGATCAGCACAGGTCCAGCGCCTTCCCCATACTGGGAAGAATTGTAGGCTGAAATCACAGAGCCACAGTTCAGCTGTCGACAGACGACATCTGCATCTGGCATGTTCCACGAATCATCCAGCAATTTGCCCCAGGTGCCGTCATGGTAAACCTCCACTCGCCCGTCACAGCGGCTCCCTCCGTTCTCTAACCGTAAATGCCACTCTTTACCTGCAACGATTTCCATCGTTAGTTACTCGCTCAAAAACGTGCGAGAGCTGAAGGCAAGATAATCACAGCTTCGCATCACCACGCACTGACAGTCATGAGGTGACAATACACATAGAAAGCTCTATAATAACGTAGAGAGTAGAGAGCCTTTCACAGACTGCGATGATACTCGCACCCAAAGCAACACATAAAACAGCACAGAATAACACACACTGCAACGGAAGTGACAGCAGCAGCATCCAGCCCAAAACCCAACAGAATGCTACTAATGTAGTAGGAGCATAAGAAATGTTAATGATAGGAAAATATTGGAAAAAAAATCATTGGAATTATAGCTGATGAGCATTATCGTCACAGCCTTAAAACCAGAGGGTGTTCTCCATAAGGTCCAGACTAGAATGTGGCAACGAGGAGTAACCCTTGTGTAGTCTTTGCTGGCTCCGCTCCAGTTTGCAGTAATATAATTCATATATTTTTACAGACTCAGGGCAAAGCTGTTTATTTCAAAAATCCGAGGAAGCCAGGCATTTGGTTTGTGCTCAGTTTTAGAGACTGAGACTGTTGGCATCCGTGACACCTGAGTAATAATTCATCAACAAATGTTACTCTTATATTGGATCAAATTCTCTAAAACAAACAACCAGCTGTTTTAGAAAAGCTTGACTTTTTATGGTTTGAAAGAGAATGTCTCAACTGTTTTGTAGTTATTGGCTTTCTTGCTTACCAAACACAAGAGTCGCGACCCTTTACAGTATATTCTGTGCAGTGGGTTGAGTGTCTCAAAGACGTGATATGTCGCTGTATCAAATGTAAGGATTATTATTGTTATTATTTCACTCACCCGAACATACAACACTAACGTCGTGTTCATGTGTGCAGCTGAATTCCCTCCAGAATGACACAGGACAGTCCCACAGGTGGGATTCGTTACCCACGCAATTGAAGTCAGTTTTCCAGATAAGACCTGTTTCCTTCCCAAACTGTGCTCCACGACCAGTTGACAAAGCGATCCCACAATCTAGTTGCCCACAGACCACATCGGCGGCCTGTAAATCCCAATAATAATCGCAGATAGTTCCGGATTTATGTTCGTACTGCAACTCAACCCTGCCAGAACAGTTGTTATTGCCACCGATTAATCTGGGGGGATGCAATTCTGTAGAGGAAGAATTGACAAGTGTGAATTACAAGCAACACCAGCAAAGGCCGTTAACGACTTGTGATTGACGGAGACATTGGGTACCGACAGCAAACAGGTGAACGCTGAAACCAATGCTCAGAAATGCAGAGTCAGGAATCGACATGTAGATTTATGACTGATGCAGCGTCGTGCAAAACAAATTTACCTCCAAGTGTTTTACCCAGCTTCAAAACAACACAATATACAATCGTGTCCTGCCCGATACGTCAGGGGGACATCCTAAAGAGTTTAACAGTAGCTGCCGTGAAATGGCGGGGCTCAGAGGACGAGGAGGGGAATTGTGACGGTTCTCACTCCTTGTTTCGCTTGCAAATTTTACTAACGCTTACTTACTAAGTGGCCTCTGCTCTATTCTAAGCCTGTCAATGTGAGTCCCTGTTCCAAGGTGTCTCAACTGAGTCCGAATGGATCAATCGGACAGGTATTCGCAGATGACTCCGATCCCCGTAACTGGGATGTCGAATCGGAATCTGTTGGAACACCGATGTCGCCAGCTCAGCACTTTATTTCGTTCCTTGCTTCGAATATTACAGAGACTTCAGGATACACTCAGCAAAAACAACAGCTCTTTATTAAGATCTAACAACCCAAAGGCTATCTTACATATAAGAAATACTACAATTTAAGACATACAACATTGGGATCAAATATAACTAACACGATGACTATAATAATAATAATAATAATCCTTGCATTGGATATAGCACTTTTCACGTCGGGAGGACGTCCCAAAGCTTCACAGAACACACTGTAAAGTGAATTGACTGTACATTTGTGGGCGAACGCGGCAGCCAATTGCGCACAGCAATGTCCCACAAACAGTCGTAGATTGAAAATGACCAATTTATTATTGTTTTTGGTTTTGGAGGGATTATTATTAGGCTCTGTGTGGAGTAAGGAAACTTGCCCAAGGTTTCGCCCTCTGCCTGGAATTGAACTCAGGTCTCTCACTTGCAAAGTGAGTGCTCTAACCATTGAGCTACAGGACTTCACAAACATAACATCTAGCAGCACAATACTACATTATTATAAAGTAATTAAACCAACCCTGATTTGTGCAGTAATCTTGTATATGTCTTTACGTACTGGATGACGACCATTTGACAGAGACCACGAGGTGCACGAGCTTTGCTTTTTTTATTGGTCCGAAATTTGAGGGTTTTTCACGTACGAGATCCACGTGGCTTTCCAGGATGTTTGTTAACTGCCGGTCAATCAAGTAATCGTGAGCCCAGTGCGTGATGCAACCAGGGCACCTCATGTATTGCGTTCACTAATGCTTTCCCAAAACAGTTTCTGCCACAAAATCGTTTGCAAGCTTTTTCTTACCCTGAATCTAATTAAAGGGACAGACCTCTCCATTTCCCTTCAATTAAACGATGTAGATATACACACATATAGTTCTGTAGCGGAGTCCTGTAGCTCAGTGGTTAGAGCACTCGCTTTACAAGCGAGAGACCTGGGTTCAATTCCCGGCAGGTCAGGGCCAAACCTTGGGCAAGTTTCCTTACTCCACACAGAGCCTAACAATAATCCCTCCAAAACCAAAAACAATAATAAATTGGTCCTTTTCAATCTACGACTGTTTGTGGGACATTGCTGTGTGCAATTGGCTGCCGCGTTCGCCCACAAATATACAGTCAATTCACTTTACAGTGTGTTCTGTGAAGTGCTTTTGGACGTCTTCTCGACGTGAAAAGCGCTATATCAAATGCAAGGATTATTATTATTATTATTATTAAATAATAATATATTAAATATTATATATACATATTATATATATTATATATACATATACTATTTTCATATTACTAAGGATTACAAAACAGGGTAACATTGACAGAATGACAGTATCACAGGCCCCTCTGCCCTGCCTTACCATTTGCAAATTAAATTTCAGTTTCTAATAATCCTCATTTTTGATATTCTGCCGTTTACAACAGTGGGACGTCGCAAAGATCTTCACAAGATCCACTGTGAAGTGTAATGACTATGAGTCGTCTGAGACAGTTAGCTCGAGAAAAGCAAAACTTTCTTCAACAGTCCACGTGCTGCGCAATTACAATTTGCTGCATTCTTGAAAAAAGTTTTGCTTTTCTCGAGCTAACTGTCTCAGACGATACATAGTCATTACGCTTCACAGTTTGGGGATGGGGCGCTGAGGGTGGGAGGTGGGGGCAGCCTGACACCCCCCCCACCAAAAAAAAATGGGGATTTAATAATAATAAACTGACATATGATGGGATGCATACCTGCCCGTACCCTCCGTTCCTCTGGCTCCGGTCTGCTCCACATCCCCCGCCCTAACTGCCCTACCATCGGTGGCCGGGCCTTCAGCCTCTCAGCCCCGAGGCTCTAGAACTCCATCCCTCAGTGCCTTTGCCCTTTCCTCCTTCAAGACCTTTCTCTTGCCCGTGCCTTGAGCTCCCCTCTCGACTCTCTACCCCTCCTCGCTCCCTCCCTTGCCTCCCCTCACCCTGACCATTTCCCCCCTGCTCGAGTCCCAACCCAACTGTCCAGCGCCTTGGGACGTCCTCCCGATGTGAAAGGCGCTCTATAAATGCAATCTTGTTGTTGTTGTTGTTATCAGAGTTTCTCAAACTCTGGTTTGCCACAAACAGAAGAGCTGAAAAATGATCGGAGAGAGAGAGAGAGAGAGAGAGGTATTTACCTGAGCAGATGACGCCGACATCGTAGGTGTGTGACCCAGGATAGTGACTCCAGGGTTTCGAGGGACAATCCCTCAATGCAGATTCGCTCCCTCTGCACTTAACGTCGTACGTCACAACGGGACCTGAGCCTGCGCCAAAGTGAGTTGTCCTCAATGCCAACTCAGCCGCTCCACAGCCCAGCTCCTTGCACACCACAGCCGCGGCCCGCATATCCCAGCCCCTATAGCCAGACACTCTGCCCCATCGTCCATTGTGGAAAAGCTCCACTCTCCCGACGCACGGGTTGCGTCCGTTCGCCAGTCTTAAATGTCCTGCGGGAATATCACACACCAGGTGGGGCGTTCATTTGAATTGATCAAGATCCCGGTCCTCACCTCCAAAGCCCTCCACGGTCTCGCCCCACCTTACCTCTGTGACCTCCTATCCCCCTACCAACTCGCCCGCTCCCTCCGCTCAGCCGACTCCGGCCTGCTTCTAAATCCCCGTTGACCCACCCGCTCCACCATTGGTGGGAGAGCCCTCAGCCACTCTGCTCCCAACCTCTGCAATTCCATCCCCAATCACTCCGCCTCACTCCCTCCCACCCCCCCCCCCACTCCTTAGCCTCCTTCAAGACCTGCCTCAAGACCCTCCTCTTCGACCAGGCCATCGGTCACCCCCCTTACCCTCCCTTCCCTTCTCTCCGTCCCTGACCCTGGCTTAGGTCTGAAATGTTGTACACTGTCCAGTGCCTTGGGACATCCTCCTGCTGTGACAGGAGCTATACACCTGTAATCTTGTTGTTGTTGTTGCTGTTGTTGTTACTCTTCACACATTAAATACCGCAAAGCACTTGGACCCATTTGTAGGCTATGTCGAGGCATTACATCCAATACAAGGATCATCAAGAATGGGACTTTGGCAATAGTTTTCAGAATAAAATAGATTTGAAGATGCTGCAGCCACATGTTGTCGTCTGACACGTGACATTAAAGGTCTAGCGGGATGTGGGACAATACTATCATGATTGGATAATTGATG